AGAGCTGCAGCCATGAGTGGAAAACGCTGAATGAACCCCAAGTTCAAGACTCTGTATTAGCGTGTGTACAGCTCCATGTACACACCCCACACACAAAGTAACTAAATAAATTAATAAACAAGTATGACTCTTCTAAATCTTTTTGAATTTAGTAAGAAGAAATCTGATTTATACCTAAGATCTTGAGTATGAAAGTAAATAATCTCCTCATACCGTCTAATCCTATGTAGTCGATTCTTATATGGATTTAATTCAAGGTACAATTAATTTTCTATTTCTGGACATGACAATATATTGTTTAATTTTCTAGAAAAAAAACCTTGCCACCTTTTTAGGAGTATTTGCCTCAGGAAAAACAAGTTAAAAAAAAAAAAGAACAAGCTTTATTAGTTACTAGTTCTGTGTATTACTGAATGTTTTGAGAAATTATAAAACTCTGTCGTTGTTATGTAAGACACAAAAGAAGCCAGGCACTGGTGGCTTACACCTAAAATCTCAGCTCCTAAGGAGGCTGAGATGTGAAAATGGAAGTTCTAAACCAACCCAACCAGACCATCTGTGTAAGACTATTTCTTTCTAATTAACCATCAAAAAGCCCTTTCCCCCACAAAGACACAAGAGACAAAAAACTAACAGCTAACCAGTGATGAACTTACAGTGCAGACCCCATTTGGGTAATGTTCTTTTACATAAGCTCGCAGAGCAGTTTCTACTGAAGTTCTCCATGATTCAATTGCATTTTCTGCTTCATAAGGTCTTGGATCAGTTGCTTCTTTTCTTAAGTGATCAAATTTGAAGCAGATTCTGTTTTTTGGATCCAAAAACTTTCCATTTCCCAAGTCACCATGTTCTGTTATCAATACCTTCAAAGATGGAATAAGGAAATAAGTATTTAAACCAATACTGACACAAATTAATATATATTCACTTTTTCATTGAAAACTACATAAGAATTTTATTCTAAGCATCTTTTATAGTTTAAATTTTCAATCCTGTTTCACATGGTTTTCTTATACAGCATGTGTAGACTCTAAGGTCATCTTACATTTGACACTGTACACATTTTTCATACATCAATTTATATCTGACTTTACACTGATTGTTAAGCATCCTCCTCACTATTTTTATTCTTTCTTTTCACATTTTCTTGGTTACTTCAAGCATGTTTTTTCAAATAAAATCTTATGAAAATACTAACTTAAAAAATCGTTAGAACTCCAATTCAAATTCTAAATGATCAATTTTTCAATAATTTAAGTTTCTACCTAAAATGAATGAAACTCAATGTAGCTTTCCACTGTTTCATCTTATTTTGTTACATGAAGATAACCAAAATTTTCTTCATGATTCTATGCTTTTTCTTATGAAGCTTATTTCTAGATTAACATATTATAGTTACCATTATTTTAAATAAAATTCCCTATACCATCCTTTTACTATTTCAACTTATTCTAGTGAGAGTAAGTACTCTAGTTTTAGGTGCTCACTTGATGCAGCAGTAAAAAGCTAGCTAGTGAGTTTGTGTAGAGTTTTTACCTTAAATTCAGCCAATTCCCCAAATTTACTTAAGCCTATTCACTTGTGGTTTATGTTTTGTTTTGTTTTTAGTGTCAGTCCTGGGAGCTTCAACTCAGGGCCTTGGAACTCTCCCTGAGCTTTTTAGTTCAAAGCTAGTGCTCTACTACTTGAGCCACAGCTCACTTCCAGCTTTTGGTCGTTAATTAGAGATAAGGGTCTCATGGACTTTCCTGCTCAAGCAGGAAACCACATTCACACCACATTCTCAGGTTTCAGCCTCCTGAGTAGCAAGGATTACAGGCATGAGCCAATGGCACCCAGTTAAGTCTAGCTGCTTTTTTGAGGTTGGAGGTTAAATATTTCTGGAGTGTCTTGGTATTCCTAAGTACTTTAGACAGTTACTACCAAAGAAATTTCTGTCTTTTTGCTAAGTTTATAAATTCTCATCTTATTTGCTATACTTTCATCTATGATAACTAAGGAACCAAACCTGTAATTTTAAATGAAATTGTTTTAGTCTTTGTAACTCATGATACTTATTACTAGTTTGGTAAACAATTATATTTAATAGGTTTATTTCACCTTTAGTTTTACTAAGGATTTTTTAAGGGTTTTTTTTTTTTAATCTTTTAAATGAGAAATAGCAGCTGGGTTGTTCAAATCCATTTCTGATTGATATTTAAATGATATTAGACTTTTCTCTTTTTTGGGTAATATGAAAGATGGATAAAAATGCCTGATAAAGGATCATTCCTATAGTTCTCTGAAAAATTCTGTTTAGTCTTGGTAAATGAACTTTTTGATAGTTTTGGAGCCTATTTGTTAATATCTCACTTTAAGTTTTTAAGCCTATAGTTATATATGAAGTTAGGATGCAGTTCACTATATTATCTTTTTAGATGTAAGTATTAAAATTATGCTAGAATGAGCCGGGCGCTGGTGGCTCACACCTGTAATCCTAGCTACTCAGGAGGCTGAGATTTGAGGATCGTGGTTCAAAGCCAGCCAGGGCAGGAAAGACCGTGAGACTCCTATCTCCAATAAACCACTAGAAAACCGGAAGTGGCACTGTAGCTCAAGTGGTAGAGCGCTCTCCTTGAGCTGAAGAGCTGAAGGACAGCACCCAGGCCCAGAGTTCAAGCCCCACGGCCGACAAAAAAAAAAAAAAAAAAATTATGCTAGAATGATAAAATGATTTTGGAAGCTAGTTAACATTTAAGAAAAAAATTGCTCTTAAGCTAGCAAATTTTCTCTCAAGGATTTATTCCAAGAAAACAACTATCAGTCTGAACAGAGTTACAAAGATAATACAGTTTATAATAGTAACAGGAAATCTCTAGAGAAATAAAATGAATTTAGTAAAGGAATATAATGAAATGCTATGCTATAGATACAAATCCATATATAACTTCATTGTAGTAATTATATGTTTTATCTATTATGGTATCTATAAGCTTAACTTTTCCCTTTAGTTATCTTTCATCTACTGTAAAATAATAAATGAATAAGATCAGTTCTTTCCTCATATTTTTATATACATTATACTTCACATAAGCATGACTGGAATTAATATAACCACTGTTCAATTATTAATAACAGTAAATCAAAAAATAAAAGCTATAGCTCTTTTGTGGCCTTTCTTGGCTTAGTAATTCTAACTTGTACTTTGGGAAAAAAAGATTTAATTATTGCTAAATTCTAGTGTACTCACATAAGAATTGTAGAATTCCAGAACAATGAAATTATTATCTAAATCTCACTAATATATTCTAGATTTTGGGTTAATTTAGGACTGATACTTTTTCCTGTAAAACACAAGTAAATGTAAAGCAACTATTTTCTTAAAATCCTAAATTACATCCGAATCTTCCTAAAAGGCACTTTCTGTTAATATTATCAGTCTTAAAAGAAATTAAATTTTCAGTTACTTTGCTAGTAAGTAGCTATTATTGAAATTTTTTTTAAGCATTCCTCTGCACAATTCTGTAGGATATCTTACTTGACATGAACAATACAAAGAGTTGACAGGCTTTGTGTTCAATTAAAAATACCTGATCTTCATAACCTTCAATTTTTACTGGTGTAAACTGGTCCAAATTATACTGTGCAAATGCACTAAAAAAAAAAAAGGTAAATTATTTAAAATTGAATGCTTCTACAAAATGATCATTTACCTGTTAAAAAAATCTCTTCCTGCATTGTACATGGCTAGATTAATAAAATTACAAATCTTGGTTACTATCTCACACAACTACTGGTATATTAGATATAAGTACTATAAAATTTGATCAGCCAGGCTCTGGTGGCTCAAGCCACATAGCTACTCAGGAGGCTGTTATCTGAGAATTGCAGTTCAAAGTCGGCCCAGGCAGGAAAGTCCGTGAGACTCTTATCACCAATTAACCACTAGAAAACTGGAATGATGCTGTGAATCAAAGTGGTATAGCTCTAGCCTTGAGCAGAAGAGTTCAGGGACAGCGCCCAGGCTCTGAGTTCAAGCCTCACGGCTGACAAAAGAAAAAAACTGATCAATGATATGAATATCAGTGCTTCTGTGCTTATCAAAATAAAATAGATCAGTAAATTTAATTGGCCTCTCACTAAAGAACCTGAAAGTAAACATTATCTGTAAAGTACATGTCTAATTATTTGTCCAATTATGTGGTTTACATACTTTAATAGACCAGAAAATACTAAGTGCTATAAAATGACCAAATTCTATAACCAAAAGAGATCATGGATAAATGTAACACAAAGCAGAAATTACCACTAAAAGACTTAATAAAGCACTGTAGCACGCATGTACACACGTACACACATGCACACACACAGACACACACATTTTAAATATTACATTTGGTTAAAACAAAAATAAGCAGAGAAGAGAACTGGAGCAATTTCACGATGGATGTAATATTAAGAAATAAGCCTGGATAACTAGATGGCTCTGGTATTGTAGAAACTGAATGATTGAATATTTCAAATGGAACTGGCCATGTTCAGGGTGTTATGACCATAGATGGCCTTGTTGATGGAATTAATTATTTGGAGGCAACAGTGTCACAGAAAATTTTTTGAAAAGAGACACAGAAATGATTCTAAAGATGAATTTGGCAGTCGCTCATATAATGAATTGTGCACTGGAGCAACTAGAGGTAGAAAATGCAGTGATGCTGCTGTCAATGTCCACGTTATAACTGCAGAAAGAAAGCAGTGATGGCGTAGACTCATGCATAAACCTTCCATATCCTGATATGAATGAATAATAATGTATGGCATGCCAACTAATTATGATATATGTGACTGAGAAACTCTACAGTATAGAAAATTATCTAAAACTGACACAAAGGTCATACTCTATTCTATGAAATCTGTAACATAGGAAATTACCTCCACTTAATAGAGAAGACATTGGAATTATCTCTAAGTTTAATCTATTTAAAAGGTTTTTTAAGGTTACTTTGGTTGGCAAATATCTTCTGAATCTTCAACTATTAGCTCCAGTCTCTTCAGAAAGGAAGGTTCAGTTGAGCAAAGAATTACTGATGAGTTAACAGGAGACTACTAAATATAAAAATAGCAAAGTAGAGTTAAATTACTACCTGTCAAATTCCTGACACTGCATGTTCAAAAAAGGAGGGAGGAGGGAGGAGGGAGTAAAGAAGCACACGGAAGGTGAAGGGGGGAAAGTGGTATTCACTTCTGATTTTTAAAAATTCATTAAAACTATAATTTTCCTAAAAATAGCTTCAAAGTGGCCAGGCACCAAGTAGCTTTAAATAATTTATCTGAAAAATGTTTGTAAACTAAAATTTAGAATTTAGTATTCATTTTTCTAATAAAAGCTAAATTTAAATAATAAATATTTAAATAGTAATTTGGTTCCAGAATGAACCAAATCCTTTTTATTGACCCTATCATCAAAACCTATTTACCTCTAATCCTTAAAAGAAGAACAAAAAGCTCTTAAAGGAAACAGTAAGTATGAATAGGTAATATGTTAAATTAAATGTTTAAAGTAAGCTAAAGTATACTATGCAGTATAATAAGATAGTCATTAACCCAGGAGTCAGAGTATCTGGGTTTTGTTGCTACACTCTCATTAGCTACTATGGACTCACTCATCTTATCTAGAAGACTCCCAAAGTCTCTTCCATTCAGAAAACTCATTCCATACACCTACTTGTCATTCACTCATCTACCCTTCCATCTCTTCAAATATTTACTGAGGTCTTAGTGGTACAGGATAAGCATCCTACTAGACACAGTATAATAGCCTCCCTGTACTTGTAGAGTTCTGTGGCCCACTGATTTAATTCTTTTCTCTGTTAAATTATATTTGTTCAGTTTTTTGGGGGGTGGGGTTCTTGAGACAAGGTATCATCAAGCAGGTCTCAAAGTTATAATCCTTCCATCCTAGTCTCTCAAGTGCTGGGACTACACACATGTACATTCACAGCTGGCTACTTAATCATCCATCATTCTTCATATCACACTGGACACTTTTCCCATGCTTGGCTTAGTTTTGTCACATCATTTTTCTTATTCAATATTTAAATCTCAGTTTATCATTTAAACAGCTAAAAAATTTTTTCTAAATAGTAACTAAAATTTTCTTGCTTTGGGCTCTGCAGGCCTTAAATATAACTAAAATTTTCTTGCTTTGGGCTCTGCAGGCCTTAAGTATATTTTACTACATTTTATTTCATATAGCCTGGTATCCAACATACCTGACTTTCCATTGGAAAATTCCTAAGACGCTTATTTATATTCACAGTGAACTTTGGCTTTTTTGTCTGTTCAATCAAAGGGTATTTCTATTTCAAAGTATTCTGGATTTGATAGTACTCACCCTTTGGTAAGACTAATTTTACTCAAAATACTGAATTTGTACTCTTTAAAAAAGATGCCCCAATAGAACCATTCTAATAGAATAGCCCTATTTTTTCCCTATAAAAAGAAAAGAGATGAAGCAACAGGGAAACATTTCCAGAGAAATGCACTGGAATACAATCTTAATGACTTTATGATGCTTTCCACACTTATGCTATACAACTTGTGTACAGCTTTAGTGAAAAACCATCTTTGCTTTTTCTTTTTTGTTGTTGTTGTTTTAATTTTTGTTTTGTCAGCTGGGGGTCTTGAACTCTGGGCCGGGGCACAGTCCCTTAACTCTTCAGCGCAAGGTGAGCACACTACTACTACAGGCTTGATCCACAGGCACCCGGCTGCTTTTTCTTTTTTGTTGATACTGGGGTTTGTACTCTAATCCTGCTATTTATTATAGGTGCTCTTACCTCTGGGCCATGCTTCTATTCCTCACTTTTGCCTATTATTTTTGTGTTTCCTTCCTAGGCATGTACATGTGTGCTAGGTTTCCCTGTAACTAGGATAACAGATGCTTATCACTACACCCATCTCTTTGTTGAGAGGGGGACTGATTACTTTATTTCCCTAGGCTGACCTTGAACCACAATCCAACAAGCTCAGCCTCCTAAGTAGCTAACATTACAAGTATAAGCCACAAGCCTGGTTTCATTAATTGAGTTTAGACATTAATATATATATATATATATATATATAAATATATACACACAGGTGTATATAAATATACACACATGCATATATACATATACACGTACATACATGTGTTTGTGTATGTAGAGAGAAAGAAAAGAGTGAGTGAGCATAAATTATAGTTGATATAGAAACACATCTAAGGGGTTAGTGCTTAAATTCCACTTTTCTTTCATTTTAGTTATGCTATATAAAATACTTACTGGGCTGCTCCTTCCCTGAGAAGATTATCATTATTAAGCAATAACCGAACATCTGCAAAATAAATGTTTTCTATATTATTATTATTTTCTACGTTTGAAGGATGTAAAGAATAATTGCTTCAGTCATGTGTTAGCATATCCACTCCAGAACAAAATAAAAAATTACCACCCTGATGATGACCAAAATATCCACAAATACACACAATGCTTTATTTTTTTCTTTTCTTTTTGGTGTCAGTCCTGTGGCTCAAACTCAAGAGTCTAGGAACTATCCCTGTTTTGCTCAGCCCTGACTGCTCTACCACTTGAGCTATAACTCTATTTCCCACTTTTTCATGGTTAAGTGGACTTTCCTTCCCAGGCTGGTTTCAAATCTCAGCCTCCGGAGTAGCTAGGATTATATGCACGAGTCACCAGAATCTGGCTACCATAGTAGTTTTGTTTTGTAATAAATGATTTTTTGGTTAGGAAACAGGAGACAAAATTATATAGAAATACATTCCAGTTTGTACCCTAATATTTGATACAGGCAGACCAGTATCTCCAAAGAAAGAGATAATTAATATACACATATAGCTAAGTGAGATGTAAAGATAGGACTATGCCTATTGGCAAAACAATCATTAGTTTCAGATGAGTCTGCTCTAAAGAAAAAGTGGTTAAGTAACAGTTTGTGACTGAGTCTAGACATAACCATTTTGGTAACACATTGATAGTAACTGCAGTAAGTTATTATAACTACACTAGAAAAGTTCTGTGAAAAGGGCTCTACAGCTGCTTTCTTGGCAAATATTTCAATTCTGTCATCCCCACTGCTGAAGAGCAGATTTACAGCACACAGGACACTGTACTGCAGTGAAGAAATCTGGACTAAGGGTTAATAATTGTAAAAATGATTGCCAATGAGGTCTAAAGAATGGCATGCTGTGAAATGATTTATAAAATATAATTTAATACCAAATTGTTTTTACATATTATCTTCTAAACATAAATGTCTACCCCTCGGGAAAAAAATTTAAATGTACTACAAAATTCCTAAAAAATAAACCAAAAAACTATTTTTTTAACTGTTTAAATGTTCTACTGAAGAAGTCTCTACTATAAGTGATCAATTCCTTATTTAAATAAAACAATTTACAGCAAAGTTCAAGTTATGTTCTCAGAATGTTACACTCTGTTTAGTAACTAGAATAAAATTAATATTGAGAGTTAACCCATTGTAACATAATTATCACACATAGCATGAATACACTAAATCCACACTGACAAATATTTTCCCTGTAATTCAGAACATGTGTACTGTCTTTAGCATAGTTATTTAGGTGGTTATGGTTTTTCTGCTTGTTTGTTTTGTTTTTGTTGGTCCTAGGACTTGAAATTAGGGTCTGGGCTCTGTCCCTGAGCCTCTCAGTGCTCAAGACTAACTCTCTACCATTTGAGCCTCAGTGTCACCTCTGGCTTTTCTGAGTAGTTTACCGGAGATAAAAGTCTCATGGAGGGCTGGGAAGGTGGCTCAGTGGTAGAGCGCTTGCCCTGCATGCCTGAGGCCCTGGGTTCGATTTCTCAGCACCACATAAG